GACGATATGTATCACCAGTAATAATGGTAGGACTCTTGAAATTTGGTATATCAGCGTAAAGGGTACAATCATTTACTGATTGCAATGTATCAGCAAGAAAGTTTAAGATCGAATTATGCCTCCATGTAAACCGCTCAAGATAAAATTGACATCCAGCCACCACATGTAATAACGACTCCGGGTTAAGGCAAAAAGTGCATTCTGAACTCGAAGATATTCCCCATCTGTTTAAGTTTTTGCGTGTGGGAAGAGAGTTATTGATATATCGTATGGTAAAGTTGTAAATATTCTTTGGAAGCTTGGATTGAGCGATAGACCACACCTTGTTTAGCTGTAATAATGATAACTTTGTTACACTGGAGAAAAAGGATCCTTGAATATGAAGCTGGTCTCGGAGTTTAACTTCATGTCCTAAGCGGAAATCTTTAATCACTTCTTTCGAACTGTTATAGGCGTCATATTGAATATTAGTGTGCGTATTAGTAGATTTCCATAACTCGTTAATTTCTTCATTAGGAGAGAGTTTTAAGGCTTTCCGAATAACAGTTTGGCATTGAATGAATTTTACAGATGGAGGATAGATACCTTGGCCGAATTTATTAGAAGTTATGAAAACAGAACTAAGTGTTCCCGAGATTGGAATCTCTAGCCATTTACGGATGTATTGATTGACTACGGAATCAATATTTTCGATGACCCATGTTTTTGAGAGTGTAGCGACGGTGAAATGCCATGACAGTTTTGATAGGACATAACGACTATATACACGAAGTTTATTCTTTGGATGGAGTGGTTTTGAGTCAATTTCAGACATTAACTCACTGATAAGGGTAATAAGTTCATACTTGTGGTTCTCATTCGACATGTTGAAGTCAAAGTAACGTCCTAAATAATTAAATGCTTCACCGCTCTTAATTGTTGGTATCATGTTATTATGAATGAAGAGTTTGGGCAAGTATTGCACTGATTTTGTGATTGCTTTCTTAATGCCAAAGGTACTACGCTTGTCAACACGGATAATCATATCAGCCCATTGGCACCAAATAGCGAAACGATTCAACAGATGTTGGTTTTCAGTTTCTTGGCCAGTAATTACGGCTGCGTCATCAGCAAACTGGAACCAGTGGATAGGATTTAACAATTTAAAGGAGAAGCCAAATTGACGGTACTTTTCAACTTTGATATGTTGAATGAAGGTGTTAAAGCACATGTTGAAAAGGAGAGGGCTCAGGCAGTCACCTTGCAGGACGCCACGGCCAACGGGGATGAATGGAGTGCAGTATTCCGAGGTGATTATTGAGGTTTGGAAGTCGGTATATAAACTATTTATAATTAATTTAATGTGATCGGGAATATGATGATAGTCAAGGACTGATTGAATTAAGTTATGATGGACTTCGCCGAACGCATTTTTTAGATCAAGTAAGGTGATGACAACAGAGCGTTGTCTGATCCGAGCTTTATTGATGATATCAGCCATTTGCGCTGTATGTTCTAGAGTTCCAGAAAGGTTGGGGGTAAAACCTTTTTGAATCTTGTGTTCGATGAAGTTATTTGATGCTAGGAAGGAGTACACTACATTTCTTAGACAGGACGTGAAGACTTTTAATGGTATAGACTGAAGCGTAATTGGTCGGAAGTTTGAAGGATCAGCGGTGTTGCCTTTCTTATGAATTAAAATTGTACATGCTCGCTTCCATTCAGTTGGGACATTACCAGAGTGCCAAATTTCATGAATAATTTCGGTAAGGTAACTTCTGAGAAACGAACATCGCTTGAAACAAATAATGGAAAGTTGGTCAAGGGGACAAGGGGAGCCAGACGATTTCATTTTCCGTATAACATTAGTAACTTGTTGGTATGTCGGGGGATTAAGGTTAAATTGAACTTCGGGGTCACATAACTTTGGAATCCAGCTGGGAATAGTGAACAGTTGATTAGGATTAATTTTAGCCAGAGATTTAGAAAAATAAGTGAGGCAATCATTCACGTTGAAGGAAGGTAATATTGAATCCTTCTTATTTATGATATTTTTAATATAGCCCCAAAAGTTCCGGGTGATATACTTGTCGTGATTGAGCGTCTGATTGCAAGAGGCTAGCCCATCGTCGTTGTTGTTGATATTGCGAAGTTTGTTACGCAATATTCGAGAGACGTGTCTAATTTCAGTAAGGTTACCTTCGTTACGTTTTAAATTCTGCAACGCTTTCTTTAATTCCTTAACTGTACATTCTTTATATTTAGCAACGATATTTTTATCTGGAATAGACTCATTATGACCAAAATTATCTGCGAAGTAGTTGTAAATAACATCGTTTAATAACTTTATTTTTGAATTTGCATCTGGAGAGCTGATTGGATGATTTATCTGCAGCGCACATTTGAAAAAATCATTAGCCGTTAGCCATTCAGAGTCATTTTTAGGTAAAATAATGCCTTTTTTGAGTTCAGGGAGTCGATCATCATAAGTCATATGGTTATCAGCTTGGCAATTTTCAGATTCAGGAGTATTTGTAGTATCATCTGTCGTTATTTGTTCTTCCAGATCAGTAGCCAGTTCGTCGTTAAGGCTGTGTATCACTTGACAACTACGCTGATGCATTTTAAGACCACGCACGCCTTTGCATATTTTGCCACAACAACATTTGACAACAGTAACGCTAGGAACAGGAATACTAGGTGACTTTGTTATTGGCATTTCCCGGGATCGAGCATCTACATGGTCTTTCTCATCATGATTAATACGTTCCTTACACCGCCATTTATGTCGACCAAGCGAGACGAACTCACGATCACAAAACGAACACACCACGCAAATCGTCAACAAAGTAATTACACTTGTACGAATCATTTTATAAACCTTATACGCGATTTCAATTAATAAAAGAGTGTGATTCAAATACGAATAATAATAATATAATAATAATAATAATAATAATAATAATAATAATAATAATAATAATATAATAATAATAATGAAAACTTTATTGACATTTTTCTTATGATACAAATTACAAAGGTAAACCTCTCTTTGACAGGTAGTTTACCAGTGTCTACTTGAATTGGTTACATGTTGTATTTACAGATTAAATGTATTAGTATGATATAAGTTGTGGGTTATTCCATTCTTTGTTACGTTTACAGAATATATAATAGGAAGACCTTATACAAATGTTCATAATTTTTCTAACAAGATATTTTCTGCATTGACTATCAACTTCTAGATCTTTCAGCATATCCATGAAACCTAATGCTGGTTTAGAAAACACACCTAATGTACTAATAGACATATTAACGAATATTACTTTTTCATATATTTTACGCTGCTCATTAATTAATGCTTGATATTTTTGTTCCTTACGTGTCACATTAGCGTGGAGATTAGATTCAAAGCCAACAGTAAGTTCCAGTATATAAATACATTTGTTTTCAATTGATATTAGAAGATCAGGCCTATATGTATCTCCAGTGATGACTGACGGGCTAATATAATCTGATAGGTCAACATAAAGGGTAGATTTCTTAAAGTGCCCCTGACACAAAATGCGATTTTTGCACCATGGAAAGTACGCATTTGTCCGAGTGTTATGGTGAAAGAATTTTTCGATTTTAAAAAAAGGAACAAATTTTAGAGCCTCTTGAATCGATATATTTTTGAACCCATGGCCGTCGTAACAGAAGACTGGGACTAGCGATTTTCGTGACGTCACGCAAGTGAGTCGCTGCAAACTCACAGTGTATTTCCTAGGGTTCTATGCTGTTTTTAATACACATTATTTCAAATCACGTCGACCGCAGGATTCAATTTTTATACTAGGTATCAGGATTAAGGTTAAATGTTATACGTTGCATCGTCGGAAGAGAAGATGCTGAAGAATAAGGGTATTTGAAGCGCGATTTGAAGCGCGCATGCTATGATGAGTCGCGATGACGACTCAGAATTGTACCCGCTTTAGCATGTGGTGAAAAGCCTCTAGATGACAATGAATAGACAGAAGCCTACCAAAAGCAAAAGGCACAGAAAGATCTCATAACAAACTGCGTGTAATGTATGAAATGCCAGACGGGTTATATATAGCGAATAGTCATCACAGTTTCGACCTATAGTCGCGACATGCCGAATTTGTAATACACTGATTTTGACCGTGATCATGCAGTGTGTTGTCTTTTGTCTTTATACGTGTAAAATGCGAAACCGATCGATCTCCTCACGAAGCGAAATGTCTGTTTATACTTTTACAGATAGATAAATGTACGGAGTCACTTATATGAGACCAAGACGCGAATTTAAAATACGTAACTTTACACCATAGTTCTTTGTTATTTACGTACGGGCATATATTAAATCCTCACTGAAACTATATTTAATATCGGGTATGTTATTATGTTTATAGCTACAAAAAAACTTTTAAAATGTGCGTTCACGTAATGAGACAGGTTTCTGCGTCATGCGCATAAAACTCTCAACGATAGACATAAGTTAGTATGCTTATACAGAATATAGCTGAACATAGTTATATCTCAAAAGCACTCAAAAGCCGACTCACTTGTATGACGTCAAAAATTACCCTCGTTCCAGTTTCCTTATAACACGGACATGTACCACTGGAAACCCCAAATTTGAGGCTTTCAAACGGCTCTAAAATTGCGACGTTTTGATGAAATCGAAAAATTCTTTCAGCGAAATACTCGGACACACGAGTCCTTTACACAGTGTAAAAATCGCATTTTGTGTCAGGGGCACTTTAACAGATCGAAGTGCTGTTGCAATACAATGCAGAACCGAGTCATGTCGCCATGTAAAACGACCTTCATTTAGGTAAGCGTTGCATCCAGCCACGACGTGAAGAAGTGATTCAGGTTTCAGACAAAACGAGCAATCAGATGTTGACGAAATTCCCCACTTTTGAAGATTTTTGTTAGTTGGAAGAGTGTTATTTATGTATCTTATGGTGAAATTGAATATATTCTTTGGAAGTTTGCTTTGAACGGAGGACCAC